TCTATTTCTATCAATACTTCAATGATAGCCTGTTAGAACCTCTTCTCCATGAGGGAGGGAGTGGCTGTTGTCTGTTGCCATAGTACCCTGTCTCAGTTTCTTTTCCTGTTGCTGTGATAAAATTCCTGAACACAAGCAACTTAGAGGAGCAAGAGCTTATTTCAGTTCACAGTTCAAGGCTCGAAGCAGCTCATCACATCCTACCCACAACCAGGAAGCAAAGAATGCATGCATCCTAACACTCAGCTGGCTCTCCACACTTAGTCCAGAATCCAAGCCCAGGGAATGGTCCTGCCCATGGTTAGCTTGGGTCTTTGAGCTGGCGGCAATGGTGACAGCATGCACAAGACCCATGCAAACTCAAACCAGACAAAACCCAACATAGAACTGGAAAAATGGGTAAGAAGCCCCACCTTAGCTGAGGAACTATTGTCAGCTGATCACTGCTGGGTGAGGGAGAGTTGGTCTTCTTTAAGGGAGTGACGCTAGACAGGCTGACCAGGCTCCAGTGGATGAACTTATACCGAGGGACATCTAGGTACACAAACTTGACTTAATAAGCCTTAACATATATGACAGAATGTATGAAATCTGGTGGGGGGCTCTGGGGCTGTATGTAGGGGAGGGGGGAGTCTAAATATGATTAAGATGTATTATATGAAATGCACAAAAATTCAATAAAATATATATTGAAGAAACATAAGTAAATAAATGTTAGCAGAAATGTGGGGAAATTGGAGCCCTTCAGCCCTGCTGGTGAGAAAACTCATCCGCTGTAGAAACAACACAGCAGTTCCTTCAAGCACTGAAACGTCATCATCCCTCCAGCCACTATACATCCAGACATGTATCCCAAAGAATTAAAGTAGGGACTTGAGCTAGCAGTTTTTCAACTATGTTAATAGTGTCATTATTTACAACAGCCAAAAGATAGAAATGACCCAAGCGTTTATATATATGGGTCTATGGGCTGTCCCACGTCATTTAACCTAATCAAGATAATCTCTTACAGACATGCCCAGAGGCCTATCTCCCAGGTGATTCTAGATTGTGTTGACAATTATCACATACCCCTTGAATGAACTTGGTAAGGAATAGATTCAGGAAGATGTTTTTCATGACTGAAGGAAAGACAGAAAGAGGGAAAGAGAGAGGTTCTGAGACATCCTGACAGCTTTGGTTAGACCAACAATTTCTCAGGAGTTGGCTGCAGAAATTGGCTGCTGGAAGTGGGGGGCAGAAGCTCATTCTCTATAGAGAAAAGGTTGGCCTAGGCTCACTGGTGAACTCTCTGCTGTCAGGCCTGCAGATCCTGTTGTTTCTGATGTCACAGGATGGTGTTCCTTGCTAGTCCAACCCCTCTCCACATCTGCGATACAACCCACTCTACCCCTGCCCTGACTCCCTATAGCTCACCAGCAAATGGTGACCCTCTCTCACCCTGGCCAGTCACCCCTGCCCCATCAACTGCCATCCCCCTCCCCAGACTGCAGGACTCATGGGTATAAGAACACACAGACCTTCCTTCTTCCCATTCTGGAATTGGGCCCATCAACAGCTGAGCTAGTGATGCTCAACTCCTGTCTACACCTTCCAAGATGGGAAAACCAGAATGGAAATCCAGGAGGTCAAGATGTGTCCAGCGTAATCAGGAACTGGACCACTGTGTGACCACCACCCCCAGCAGCACCCGAGTCCCCCAACACCACCACCCTTGCTCTGGGCACCCTGGTTGCAAGGGAAGTACACAGGCTGCAGATATAAGTCCGCTATTGCATTCTACCACCTTTCCTGTCCCTGGACAGGCTGTGACTTAATGGGGTAGGACTTACCAAGGAATGGTGAGGTCTGGGTATGAACCCCAGCTCTCCTGTGTTCTGGCAGTTAGTGTACCTCTCTGTTCTTTGGGTGTGTTGGGGCACGGTGATAGCTCCTCGAGGACCACCATGCTGGGTAAATGAATGTGTGTGACACACTTATCTGCTGCCTGGTGCACACCATGCCTGCTATGTCACACAGGCTTGGCTTGTCCAGGAGCCACGCCCCCCCCGCCCAGTTCCTTGGGGTCCTTTCTCCTGAGGGAGACCCCCCCCTCGTTAGTCACACTTTGGGGCCTGGCTCACACGATAAACCCAGTTTCTCTATCCGCTCTCATAGTTCCCTCCCTGTGCCCACCTCTACATTGGCCCTCTGAGTGATGATTACATGGTGCTGTCTGTCTTCCCTTGTGTGTGTGTGTGTGTGTGTGTGTGTGTGTGTGTGTGTCCGAGTTCAAAGTACTTGCATCCCAAACACTGGCCCAGGTCCTGCCCAGGGTACATAGGAACAAATGTGTTGAACTAAGACCATTGGTCTTACTGTGGCTGGGCTGCTGCTTTCTCAGACCCCGTGGACGCAGGAGCTCTCCATGAACTGACTTCAGCCTACATTAGAGACTCCTTTATCTCCCACCTTGGAGCTGGGGCCCTGAAGAATGGACTGGACTCCTACTTCCTCACTGAGCATTGATCTCCAAGGTCCACTTTTGTGTTGTACCCATTAAGCTGCAGGCAGGGGTCGGGCCCCTGGTTCGATCTACTCAGGTTGCCTGCACAATTGAAATCCCTGCCCATCTTGGCTGCTTTTCTCATTAAAATGATTGGACTGGATTGATCTAGTCAATCAATAGATGGACATCAGCATCAGGAAGCTGATCATATGAGCCTGGGTGATCAGTCCTAGAATGAAGTCCCTGCCAAGCTGGAGTGAGCTTGGGGTCTCTGGGCTGGAGCTGGGGAGGCAGAGAAGTGGACTAGATGTCTCACCTGACAGTGGTACCTTCAAGCTGGTGGCTTCTAGGGCAGGAGTCCAAGCACTGGACTCCTGGCAGCTGGGTGTCCATTCCCAGGTGAAGGAACTGGACAAGACCTGTTGTCTGATGCTTGCAAATATCCAAGACCCCTTCCCCGGGGTCAGCCTATAATCACTTCCTCCTCCTTAGCCACGCATGCCACTGCCCTCCCTTGACTGTCAGGGTACTGGGATGGGTGTTAAAGAAGCCAGAGGCGGCTTCTCAGGGCTCTCTTCCTGGGAGTGACTCTGAGACTTAAACAGTAGGTTGGGTGGACCAGATCCCAGTGTGCCTCAAGGACCGTGGTTGTGTGGGCAGTGAGGGTGGACTTGAAGACACCTGGTAAGCACACAGACCAGCAAGATGATTGTTACCTTATGCAGGCTTACGTTGCGTAGTTGGTCCCCCATGGGTGGCACTGTTTTGGGATGTTGTGGGACCATTACGCGTAGGGCCCAGCTGGAGGAAGTGGTCCCTACAGAGTGGGCCTCAAAGGTTGCAGCCCCATCACACTTCCGGCCTGAGCTCTCTACTTCCTGGTCAATGTCATATAACAAACCCCAGCTGCAAGCTCACTCCAGAAAATTCCACCACACCTTCCCCTCAGTGATGGACTGCACACCCCCAAAACCAAGAGCCAGAATAAACTTTCTTCCTCAAGTTGCTTCTGTCAGTGCACCAATCAGGGGTGTCACCCCTCCAAAGAGGGCAAAGTTCAGGGTCGGAGCCCAGCCTTCCTCTGTGGACTCTGCAGTTCTTAAAAAAAAAAAAATTTTTTTTTAATTTCTTATTAATGTGGGTATGGGGACAGTCCATGGTCTGTGTGTGTGGAGGTCAGAGGACAGCTTTCAGGAGTCTGGCCTCTCTTTCCATGGTGGGATCTAGGGGTTAAACTCAGGTTGTCAGGCTTACATGGTGTCCTAGTTTGCTTTTCTGTTGCTATGATAAACACTGTAACCAAAAGCAATTGGGGAGGAGTTTATTTCATCTTATAGGACACAGTCCATCATTGAGGGAAGTCAGGGCAGGAACTCAAAGCAGAAACCATGGAGGACTGCCCTTACTGGCTTGTTCCCAGGTTCATGGTCAGCTACCTTTCTTATACAGTCCCTGTCCACCTGCCCAGGAATGGCACCATCCATAGTGGGCTGGGCCTAGCCCTCCCAAGTCGATGATCAATCAAGGAAATGCCCCACAGATGTGCCCACAGGGCTCATTCATTTGAGGTTCCTTTTTTCCCAGGTATGCAAGTTCACAGCCAAGATTAGGCAGCACACACAGAAAGAGCTTTAACCCACTGAGCTTCACAGGGCCTCCAAGGGTCTTGTAGGTCTACCTGGAGAGGTTTCCAGAAGGTGCCGGCAGGTCTGCCTTGAGGGTAGATTGTCTTAAGGAGTGTTTGTGGTCTGGGATCCATGGGAGCCATGGAGATGACAAACAGTGACCTGCCAGTGAGACAGAGGGAGCATGAGAATGGCTCCCAGTCTTCCTGTTAGTTATGTGATGAGCAATGGACAGTCTACTGGGGTTGGTCCAGCCTTCCAGTCAGGCCTGTCTACACCAGCTGTTTCTAGGTCCTTGAGGTCTTGCTCAAAGAATTGAAGAAGCCCAAACACAGTCAGAAAAGTATCAATAGGTTTTATTCACAGTGGGCTCTGAGTGTGATTCACTCAGGAGCTGTGGGTTCCCCCTCTTCCTTTAGAGGGTTCAAGAGAAGGAGGAGCTGTTTGTTGGGGTGGAGTGGAGGTGGTTTTCTGTTTTGATTGACAAGCTTGGGCTAAGGAAGCCTTTATTCACTGTGAATGTCCCTTCCCATGATGCATCTGATTTTAATCAAATATACATTCAGTCATGCATAGGCATAAGATGGTAAATAGGGGATTTTCCTTAAAAGTTCATTCAAGGACGATGCAAGCAAGCTGTCTTTCTGCGCATGCACCTAAAACCAGTTCAGGCTGGATCAGATCACCTCACTGTCCCACGTATCAGGATGTGTCTGGCCACCAAAGGGAGTTACTAAGGACTGTGAAGAAGGAGAGGCCTGCTGTGTTATTTGGAGTGAGGCCTATGTAGCCAAGTGCAGGTGGGGTCCTCAGGGCAGGAGGGGTCCCACACTGCTGAACTACCTCTATGCCTGCCTGTCTCATCCCCTCTCTCCTTCCCCCCACAGGTTACCTGACAGTCAACATTGAGCCCCTCCCTCCTGTGGTGGCTGGGGATGCCGTGACCCTGAAGTGTAACTTCAAGACAGACGGCCGCATGCGTGAGATCGTGTGGTACCGGGTAAGTGGCCACCCCGCATGGTTGTCCCTGTGTGCCAGAGCTGCAATGGAGTCTCCAGGGCACCTTCACAGGTGTGTCCTCAACTCTGTCCACTCCTAAGCTGCCCTCTGACAAGTCTTTTGTGGACACCTCTTCAAAGACTACCTCTCAGCCAGGATCCATCTGGCTCTGGTCCCCTCTGTGCCCATGATAGACCCCCTGCTCCCAGAAAACCTATCGATACCCCAGCAGAAGTCACTGAAAACGCCACATGCCCTGGGGACAGTGCACAACTGAAGAACAGTACTGATAAGCTCTAAGCGGGACGCTTTGGCCGTGTGTCTGGTTTTGGGGAGGTAACAGGAAGACTTCCTGTCTTCTTTAACACTGCCTTATAGTAGGGCATGACAGTGTGCACCTCAGAGCTTGGGAGACTGAGGCAGGAGGTCTGCCAATTCTAGGCCAGCCTGAGATACTGGTGAGACTCTGTCTCAAATGACCAAAAACACAATGCATTTCAGAGATAACCGGTCACCTAAGCCCACTTCTCATAGACCCCAGCAGGCATTTAGGCCCAAGAAGGGAGTGAATAGAGCATCCCAGCCTACTGTCCCCTTGTGACAGAGGGACAGGGGCTGGGCTCCAGGGAGAGTGTGGCAGGATGGTAGGCTGCTCTGTGAGGTCATGCCCAGGGAGTCCCTCCTCTGGGACCTATGCCAGGGGTGGGCAGCATTTCTCAGGGAAGGCCCATATTGTAAATGTGTTCCTCTCTGCCAGCCATGGAGTGTGTCACAGCCCGTTCAAGCTGCTTCTGTGTTGGGAAAATAGCCTCAGACATCATGTGAATGAAAGGACGCGCCACAGTCCCAAAACACGCTATGCATGGGCACTTGAATTTTGTATAATTTTTTTCTGTCACAAAAAGCCCTTTTTCTCTTTTTTTCCAACCATTAAAGAAAAATAATAAAATCCATGGGCCATGTGGAAATAGGATATAGGAAAAGTGAACTCATGGCTCATCGTTACTAACCCCCCATGGAAATCACATTGTTGGGGCTGGGAATGTGGCTCCATGGGTAGAATGCTTGCCAAGTAAGCACAAAGTCCTGGATTTGATTCCCAGCACAGCATTACACCAGGTGGGTGGTGTGCACTTGTAATCCTAGCACTTGGGAGCTGAGGGCCAGAGGATCAGAAGTTCAGGGTCATCTCAGCTACACTGCCTAGCAGCCATCCACAGTGCCTGGAAACTTGGGGTAAGGGGAACAGAAAGTCATGGGTACTAGGCTGTTGGACTCAGAGTGGTCTCCACCTCCTTCCAGCCTTACCATCCTTCTTGCATGCCTGGTCTTTGATTTATCCTTTGCTGATGAATACTGTTTTGCTAGCTGTGCCCACGTTCCTTTTAACCCAGGTCTGTCCTTTCCCTGGGCGTCATAACCCCTCCTGCTTGGAATCAGTTCCAAGGGTCCCTACACACACCCCACAGATGTGTGACGGACATCTGGACCACAGGCCCCAATCTTAAGAGAGGGAGTTCAACCAACCCAGACAAAGTCAAGGCCAGCAGGACCCATGTCACAAACTATATCACCAGCAGTGATGTCACAAGTTATCAGGCTGGCTGTCACGGGCTATGAGCGTCTTATTTGCACCTGGCAGAGGAATGGGGACAAATGAACCCCAGCTTACTGCTGACAGTGGGGCCACATTCCACCCTCCCTCATCCATAAGTGGGATCAGAGGGAAGGGAAAAGAAAATGGCTGTGGATTGGTGGGGACAGTCTGGGAGTGAAAGTGAGGAGGAGCTAGAGACAGGAAGATACCAGGGGCCCCAGAACCTTCCATGGTCTCCAAGCAGCCATCTTCATGCCAGTAGGAAACTGAATGTTACTGCCGTGCCCAAGGAGATGACAATCCCCCTTCAGAGGCAGCTGCCAGATGTCAGCCCAGGCTGGGCCCATGTAGGGAGCCAGGAGAGGCATCTCCAACAGCTCCACTGTGTTCCCAAAGCTGGGGTTACAGCATGAAGCTCCCCCAGGCTAGATGGAGGTTCCCCTCTCCCTTTTGTACCTGGACCTTCTGCCCAGCGTGGGCTGCCTCTGTATTGACCGCCTGAAGAATCAGTTAGATCTCTGATGGGTGTCAGGCCCTGTGTCTTGGACTATGGTAAACTGCACTAATTAATTTATTTTATTTCATTTCACATCCTTTGACTGAAGACCTCAGGAGTGGGGGGTATGCAGATGTATGCAAATAACATGCAAATTGCCTGCTGGAGCCAAATGCCTGGGCCCTTTTAGTTCTGTAGCTGGACAGGGTGGTGGCTTGGCTCACTGGCTGCTCTCCTCAGAACCAGAGGAGTCCACGTGCCCTGCCTGTGATGGAGCGGAGGGAGTACAGGGCGGAAGGAAATTCCAGAGAAGAGTTGCCAGCTTTCCCTTGGCTGCTGCTGCTCTGGCCTCTTCTTTTCCCAGGGAACCAGCTGAGGAGGGAGAGATAAGGGCCTACCAACAGAGACCCAGACTGGACATGACTTCCAGAGGCCATGGGAGACCCAGCAAGGGGAGCCCCCGCTCCTTCTCCAATAGACATCCCTCCACCAGACAAGCCCCCTCAGCCTTCCCCTCCCCCATTCTCATCTCCCCTCCCGAAGCCTGGCCTCAAAACAGCAAGCTGTCCCTTATCTCCTGCCTTCCTTCCCCCATCCCCTGAATGAGCTTACAGAGTCAGGCTTGGAAAGAAATGAATAGATCTCACAGGCCCAGTCAGACCCAGGCCTCCAATCCCTTCAGAAGGGAAAAGTGGGGTATTGTGACGGGTTTCCACTGCCTGCCTGCTCAGCCCAGTGAGCACAAAATGGCCCAGCGCATGTGTTTAGTCCAGTAGCTCTGCTCTGCTAAGAAGATGTGTCTGAACAGTGGATCATCAGAGCTTTCCCAAGGCATAGAGGCCTCGGTATGTAGCTCAGTCGCAGAGCACTTGCTTCGCATGTGTGAGATCCTGGATTCAATCCACAGCTCTACACACACACACACACACACACACACACACACACACACACACACAATTATAAATTTCGAGATATAGAGTTCAAAAGCTGGGCTCTATAGAGATATCTGAGAGCCGATGGCTCTGACTGCCATCAGCAGCCTGATCTGGGGACCCCGGAGGGAAGGAAGTGATGGGTAAGGCAACTGAACGTGGGTGATCAGAACCCCTGCCCCAGTCTGTGTTGTCCGAAGCGGCAGCCACTGGTCACACGTGGCTGTTCCCATTTAAATTAAAGAAGCAAAATGCATTTCACCATTCAGAAAAGCCAAGTTTCCAGAGCCCGCTTGCCACATGGAGCTGGTGGCATCAGATTGCAGCAGAGCAGAAATAGAACATTCATATTTTTGTCAAGTTCTGTCACAACCCAGAAGGCTCCTGACATTCAAATCTTCTCCCTCTGGAGCCTCTAGAATATTCTGTGCTTGCCTGACAAAGGAATGGTACTGCCCTTTCACAGAGCCATTTCCTGACAAACTCACATCAAGAGGGATTCCAGCAAAGCGAATCTTATTTACTTTGTAACCTGCCATCATTATGTCATGTTGTTTGTGTCGAGGGAGAGTCGGAGAAGGAAGCAGTTATCTGTCTCATAAGATGTCTTGGAAAACGTGGAGATGTTGAGGGAATGGTCAGGCCCCCAGGTGCTGGGTATTGGGTCTGTCAAAGCCCCATGCAACTTAAGCAAGCCTCACTCCCCCTTCTACCTTCTCTCTGGGATTTTTCCACTATTCTGTGGGATCATCTCCCAGACTGGAGTTTCGCAGTCTCCATCTACAAGCTCCTGCTCTCAACAATAATACAAAGACTAACAGGGCAGAGGTGCAATTCCACACGTGACCAGTAGGAGGTGGTTATCTAGCATCCAGTCTACCTTAGGGTTCAAAGCAGAGTTTGGTTCTAGGAAATGAGTGATACAGTCAATCTTCATTTCGTCATTTGTGTCCATTTATGCCTATAACGGGGGACTTGAGTAAATACTAATCTGAGTGGCTAACACCCTTGGGCCTGTCCCAGGAGCCAGGGGTCAAAGGGTTTACATAGGTCAGGACTTTGTCACTGTGGAGCAAGCAACACGGTAAATCCTGCTTTTCAAATGAAGAAAATAAAGCTATCCTAAGAGGCTGGGTCTCCGGTTATATTGTATCCTCGGACTTCTCTGGAAAATTCTAGACAAGCCTCCCCTATGCTCTCTCTTTGTGTGTCTATTTCAATAGTTACCTCATGATCTCAAAGCACCTGCTGCCAGACTGTGAATGCCCCGGTGACCCCGAGCAGCTACTGCAGAGTCACTGCGGTAATGCTGGTTACATGAACCTTGTAGGCTGGGCTAGGAAGATGGCTCAGTGGCTAAAAACACAGCACTTTGTGGTACAAGTGTGAAGACCTGAGTTCGAATACCCAGAACCCAGTAAAGACAGATGTGATAGCATAAGTGCCTGTAATCCCAGTTCACCTGCAGAGACTTGGGATGTGGAGACAGGTGAATTCCTAGAAGTCTGAGAGACAGCTAGCCGGGAGGATGCAACACCACTAAGACCTTGTCTCAATAGCGTACATAGAAGCAAAGACCAATGCTTGAGGGTGATTTCCCAACACTTACTGTGGCGTCGTATTCACACACACATACACACACACACACACACACACACACACACACATGCACACACAAATTAACACAAGGCAGAGCTTTGAAGCTCCAATGTACACTCACGTTTTCTCAGATCAGCTGCGTGACCCCAGGTGGACATGTGTGCACTTGTCCTTTTGGGGAAGTGTGGGTGGGTCTCTGTAACTCAAGGCTCTTTGTGGCGCACAGGGAACAGGAACATTTCTTATTAGGAAACCTGTCTAAATTCATCTAGGTGGGGGGAGGGGGGTCACCTGCCCAGCAGGCAAAGCCAAAGGTCTGTTTATATCATAGAAATCCATTAAGCAACCACAGGGAATCATGGGAATTTAACCTTTCA